TCTTGGGGGGCTGCATGTGCCCCCATATATTTGTTGGCATGGGCTAAGAGACATTCATGTGCAGCTGAGGAATGCAAATAGTTCTGAGCTGGCCTTTTAGTTTGGGAGCCCTCCAAAAGCAGTAACTCTTTCAGGTTGTCTTGACATGGTAAATTAAGAGGTGCAGGAAAGTGCTACATCCTGTAAAATATATACTTCAACTGTCCGGGCCTCCTGCACCTCCAGCCACCAGGAAGGGTACGTGTTCACTCGTGTGTCTGTCGTCACCACCCTCTTAGCCAGAGGCCTCCATTGAGTGTTCACTGTGTCCCTTGCAGATGAACTGAAAGAGCAAAAAGAAAACCCCTGTGCATGCCAGTCCGTATCTTGGAACTTCTCACTTTGAATGGACATAGCAAAAAATAAAATTTAACGAAATTAAGCCCCAGTTCTGCTTCGTCGTAACCAGGTGGTGCTGAGTAGAGGTTGCCCCCTTTCAATGTGGAATAAGTTTTCCAGCTGGCATAGTCCCCACATTTCCCTGGTTTTTTGCTTTTTGGTTTTAAATACACTTTCTGCCATATACTCCTTTAACGTTCCTGCAGTAGTGCTTTCAAATTGCTTGTGAGAGTATAAATTGATACAATTTAAATGAAAGGGAATTTGACAGTATCTAGCAAATTGTAAATATATGTATCCTTTGACCAAGCAATTTCCTTCTAGAAAATTTATTTTCATACTCATATATTTGCCAAGTGACATAAGAACAAGGTTATTCATTGAAGCATTATTTATAATAGTGAAAGACTAGAAACAATCTAGTCATAGACTGGTAACTGGTTAAAGAAGGATATGGCATACAACAGAATACTATGTAGCTATAAATGAACAGAAAAGAATGAGAAAGCTCTCTGTGAACCTATACGGAGAAATTCCAAGGTATATTATTAAGTTAAATAAAGGGCAAGGTGCAGAACCTTGCTGCTTTATCTACTACCATCTCCCACTTGAATTAAACAGGCTAGAGGGAACTCTGTATGTGTATTTGCTAGAGCATACATAGAAAAATCTCAGGAAGGATGCACAGAAAGCCTACAGCATGATTGCCTCTGTGAGGTAGACCAGGAAGATGAGTGACAGGAGTTGAGAGGGCTAGATTTCACGGAATACCCCATTGTAATTTTTGATTTTTAAGCGATTCTTAAGCCATGTGATTGTATTATCTATTTTAAGAAAGAAATTTTTCTGCCTGAGCCCTGTAGGCATTTGCATCTGTGATGCAGTATATACTCCAATAAGAAATAAGGGGTTGTGCCTTACCAAGTTTAAGAGTTTGTTGTTTCGGGATTTTTTTTTTTAGGATTGAAAGAGTTTTTTTAATAAGAGTTATTAAATGTCCCCTGGGTCTTGAAACTGTTGCTCTCACGTTATTAACGTTTCCCCTGGAAAGTTGCACAGACATAGTGTCTGGCTTTAAATCATACCTGTTTTTTCAGCTTCCCTTAAATCAGGAGTATCTTGTGCCATATCAATTAAAGTAAGTGTACTTTCAATTAAAGGTGTTAAGTATGAGTCCAGAAAAGATTAATTCTTTATGAAAGGATGACCTTCAGTAGTTAGATCCAATTAGGCATTTTTCCAACTATATTTCATCCTGATGGGACAAGTCTACACACAATTAATCACTGTGATCTTTTCAAAGGTGGGTATTTTAGGTTCAGAGTCATAAAAGAATGACGTGACTAGGCAACCTCCATAACTTGAGCCACCGTTGATGTAGATAAAGATTATGGATGTTGGGTATGTATTACTTTTGTGGGATTGATATGTAAAGAATAAGGATGTGCATGATGATATGTTGGATATGGTTCTTATACCTCTCTGCTCATGACCTTAGTAGAACAAACTAATTTAGACAAGCCTGATCAAAAGAAAAAAGAGGAAAGGAACAATGGCATAAATTATGGTCAAACCTAATTCCTTTTCTTTTTTTCTCCTTCTGTCATTTCATTATTAAACACACTATAAATACTTGCTTTCCTAGTGATTATTTTTTCTTTTTGAATTGTTGTAGTCCTCATTCAACCTTTGCTGATGCACAACACACAAAACCAAGGCTGTTAAATAAATGAATGCTTGCTGATCTTTTTACAGTAACGTGTAAAATGTTGGGGAATATTTGTTTTCCCTCAAAAGTTAAAGGGAATTGAACATTTGTATTTGCATTAGGTATTTCCAGTATGGAATTGTTGCTCCTCACTCTGCCACTCCTTAACTTTGTAAAAGAACCATTGAATGTCCTCACCAAAAAATGGGAAACAAGTAATACCTGCTTTGTATATTTCAAAGGTTTATTATTAGGATCAGATGAAATTTGGTGTCAGTATTTCTCAAAGTGTAGTCCTGTAACCCCCAGGGGGTCCTTGAGACCCTTTCAAGGAGCTTATGAGGTGGAAACTATTTTTATAATAATACTAAGAAAGTATTGGCCTTTTTCTCTCTCATTGTTTCACATACATACAGTAGAATTTCCAGTAGCTTGCTACATGATACGTGATATTGCAGCAGATTGAATACAAAGGCAAATATAAGAATCCAGCTACCTGAAGACAGACATTACAGAGGTTTACAAAAATAGAAAACACTGCATTCTTTTCACTGATTTGTTTTTCTTTTGGAAAGTAAAATAATTTTACGTAAAAAAAAATTTTTTTTTTTTTGACATTAACATGTGATGGGCTGATTATTTTCATTTTCAAGTGAATTAATAAATATTTTAAAACTTACCAGTTTTAATTCCTAATACAGTAAATATTGATAGATACAACCGACAAAACAAACAAAAGTTCCTTAGGGGGTCCTTGATACTTTTTAAGAATGTAAAAGAGTCCTAAGACCAAAAAGTTTGAGAACTGCCGATGGATATGAAAACACTGTGTAATGTGTGGTGACATTGTAGTTTATTAAGAAAATTCAGGCAACATGCAGACAGCCCTTCCAGTGCAGGCACTGGTGGTTCATGGCCCACTCCACCTCCAGGGCAGGCTTGCTTTGCCTGGGGTCCAAGATGATCTCTGAACCATCTACAGTTGCCTGCAATTTCATGTGTCGGTCATGTGTCGGCTTTTTTAGTGGGAGCATTCACAATTTTCACAGTTTTCAGATTTTCAGAAGGTCCTGAAAGAAGCACAGCTATAGGAATTGCTACTGTCCGCTAGTTCCCATTCTGTCTTCGAGAGGAGTAGCGATAAAGTCGTGGTGCGGACACCCGAGAGGAGATGCTGAGGTTCCAGGCTCTCATGTCGGTAGCCTGGGCTTGGTTGTCTCTGGAGTTCCTGACCCTTTACCTCTCTGGTTGTGGAAGGTATTAGACTTGGGTCAGCTTCTCTAGGCACTGGGAGAAGGGCTTTCTCTCAGTTGGTACCATGCCTTTGTCATCGTTCTGGGCCTCCTCATACTTGGTGTCATAGGGTGTGGTAGGACATAAAGCACCACCATCAGGCTATGGACCAAAAAAGAGCCCATAGGCTGACGTCATCAAGATTCGGGCACTGTACCTAGAGACCAGGAGATATTACCAGAGTTTTAGAGTATCAAACTGGAGTATCAAAGGGTTTGATCAGACTTTCCTGGCACTGGAAGGAAGATGTTTAGGGCTTGGTATTCAGACCACCTCTGTCTCTGTCTCTGGCACTCTTGGCAGCTGAGCAAAGAGTTGAATGCATACAGAAATTACTATTTCATATGTCCTACTGCAGTTTCTTAAAAGTTTTTTTTAATTAACTTTAATTCTAGCATCTGTCGAGAGTTACTCATAATATTTTAGTGTTCTTATGAGAAAATAAAACGATTCTAATTATAACTCACTGGCCCTTACTGTTATGTCTTGAAATTAATATGAATGGAAAAATCATACCTTAGATACTTATTTGTTCCATATTTCCCCAGTGTCATTTGATATTTTGATTGAACGTACATATATGTGTCTATTGTAGTTTTATGTAAGCATTTTAAATTTCTTAACAGTTTTATATATTCAGTGGGCAATTTCATAACATTCAGAGGTCCCCCTCTATTTATTTAGATAAAATTTTTAACAACAAAATACACATCTTACTCTGGACATTTTTGTTGTATGATTTAACGTATAGTGCTGTTGTGAAGTTTATCGCTAAGGCTGTCTTCCTTGTTTGTTTCACTTTTAAAAATAATTTGAGGGGACTTCCCTGGTGGTACAGTGGTTAAGACTTCGCCTTCCAATGCAGTCAGTGGGTGTGGGTTCGATCCCTGGTCGGGGAGCTAAGATCCCACAGGCTTCGCGGCCAAAAAACAGAAGCAATAGTGTGACAAATTCAATAAAAACTTAAAAAATGGTCCACATCAAAAAAAAAAAAAAAAAACTTAAAAAAAAATTTGATAAAATACTGTTTTCCCAGGAAAAATATGAAAAATGTATTGAATACTATTTATGCTAGACTAAAAGCTTCTGACATTTTTAATTATGGAATTAAATTTAAGGTTACTGATTTAATGTAGATTTTATAAAAGGAGCATTTAGTTTTGGAATTTTGTGATACAATCATGTTTGTATAAGGTAAATTGAATCAGTTAAACAATATCTCCCTTTATTCTTGTCATAACTGCCTCTTCCAATGGAAGAAGTATTTAGAAGTAACCCAAAACTATTAAATGCTGTCTGTATGTCAGTAGCATCTTGTAAAACTTGGAATACCTTTAGTTTGGTTAAACTCTGCTTCATTAGATTTTTTTTTTTTTTTTTTTTTTTTTTTTGCGGTACGCGGGCCTCTCACTGTTGTGGCCTCTCCCGTTGCGGAGCACAGGCTCCGGACGCGCAGGCTCAGCGGCCATGGCTCACGGGCCCAGCCGCTCCGCGGCATGTGGGATCTTCCCGGACCGGGGGACGAACCCGTGTCCCCTGCATCGGCAGGCGGACTCTCAACCACTGCGCCACCAGGGAAGCCCCATTAGATTTTAATATGCTATTTGTTATTGTATTTCAGGAACTCCAGAAAGGAACTTAATGATATACGATTTGAGTTTACTCCAGGAAGAGGTAAGTTTTAATTGAAATTATCATTCTATTGCTACCAAGAGCATTTCAGAAATTGATTACTAGCATGTGGTTATAATTTGCTATTCAAAAATGTGTTCTCTAAAAACAAAGGAGGGAAGGAAGGAAGGAAGGAAGGGTTTGCAATAATTGTGGGGAATCCAAACCGAACCCACTACTGACTGCATGAATTCCAGTGACACGTGCTGCACAGCATATACACACTTATAAGTTAGATCTGTTAACTCGACCATGAAAAGAAGCGCTGGCGTGGTGATTCGGGGCCTAAATAAAGGACATTATGATGAGTGTGATGAGCCGCGCATAGCAGTCTTAATTAGGGTTGAGCAACAAACAGTGACAAAAGGTAGCATACTTTGCCTCTCAGATGTCGGTTCAGATTACACGAAGCCTGTGCTGAGGAGTATCTGGGCCTCTACTTGCTGCAGGCACCGCTAGGAAACTTGGTAGGAACAGGGCTAGTCTTGCGGCTGAATATAATTTTAGTATTTTGAATAGTTATTAAAATGGTTTCAAGGCTAGACTGGTTGCTCTTTTAGCGCCTGGATGCCTGGAAGTCATTGAGCCATGTCCTGTTTCTTGGTGTCTCTAGCACCTGGCAGGTGCCTGGTAAGCACGAGAATCTCAAGTCATTTTGGTTAATTATTGGATACAGGCTTTGGAGATCACGACATCAGTTGTTAAACAAAAATTGCTCTTTGCACTCTTTAGTTCATAACCAAAACAATCTAGAGAAGTGGAAAACAGATGCTAATGCTAAGACTGGAGCTGTTCACCTTGTTCTCTGGTTTCAGACTTTTATATACATGAAAACAGCCTCGATGTCTCTTTAGTCTTATACATTTGAACGTATTAATATATGTAAGCTAATAACATTCTCTAATTATTTTATGTATTAGAACTCCACGTAAATTTTTATTCGATTAAATAAATTGTATTTGCTAAAATTTTGAAAACCTAAAACTTTCTAGCTTGATAGCTAGTCAATCAGTTAACCGCTTGACCTCCCTGCTATTATCAACTGTAAGAAGACACAAACTCAAATGCTTGCAGTTGCCAAAGTGAATGGTGGGAACTTCAGAAAACCAGAGAGTTCTGTCTAAATACATTCAGGTTCAGTGCCCACCAAATAAATTATGTTCCTGGGCCATAGGTGGTCAGTCATAGATTCATTGGCCCTGATGTCTAGTCCCCTGTAAACACAAAGATTTCATGATTTCCAGTATATTTGAATTAAACATATCTTTTTACAAAAGAAATGTGAATAAGGCCCTAGTGAATTTGCTAACTGATCTTTCTTTCTGGGGGCAGTCTTTGACAATTTAGAGTCAGTCTGTGAAGTTGAACAGTTGCCAGTTGCTGTTATCAAAAAGCTGTTTTGTCATAATATAAAGATATTGAGCCGCCAATACTGTAATAAAATCTAGCAATTATATAATAAATATTTCAAGTATAGTAAGTAAAAGAATTCTTATTTTAAGGGTTTCTTTTCACCTGATTGTTTAAGATTGACAGTGGCAATAAGAATCGATTTTAATTTCAGAGGTACCAAAGAAGTGAATTTCTGAGTTGAGGACTGCTGGGGATAAGATGGCCTTATCAGCGTTACCTGGCCCTTTGTGCTAGCTTTGGCAGCCTCATTTGCCATTGTTAGATTCAGAGTCTCTGCTTTTGTTGCCCAGACAGAAACCATAGTGCTGGCTTCCTGAGGATAGCTGGCCTTCCCTGGGGAGCGAGCACAGCCGTTTAGTTTCAGAAATACCATAGCTATATCACTGTACATCTGTGATTACTGATGCTGTCTGCATTTGAGATGTTGTTTGCGCTCGATCTGTGCATGCATACCATGTGTACTCTGTCTCTGGTGTATACACAGATAAATATATACGTCATTGAGTATATAATATGAACATATCAAATATTCTGTCGTCATTTGAGGGCAAGCCCTTTGTGTTTACTATGTTGCTGTAATGATCTAGAAAGCAGAGTGTCCATGATTATTTATGATTATTTAACCCGTTTACACATTAGGAATGTCAAGCAGCTTAAAGAAAAATAAATTACCAATTACCTTCAAGTTTTTGTTCTAAACTATTACTGATATGTTACTTAACATGCATGAAAAATAACTGCTTAATGGCACACACACAGACAAGGAATATTTCCATTTTTGACCAACCAGCACAACCCTTTTGCTATTTTAATATGACTCATTTGGTACCCAAGAGTCCTGAAAATAGTCAGAGATACTGTACACTTTGATCATTTGGGAACGTTAATTTGCTTCCGTACTGCTTTAGTGCTAGCCCTCAATGTGACTTTGTTGATTATTCCATTTTCAACTACTTTCTTTGATTATAGCTCCTTACTCAAGTGTAAGATCTTACTGATACTTTAGAGATGGTGGTAACACATCCAGTTGCTTTAACAGATGATCAGTCAGTAGAAGTGTAACCACTGACTACTCTGTGCCCGGTGTCTACGAGGCAGGCACTTTAATTCAGTAGGCTTCTTTTCCTGAAGTTTCTAGTGGCATCCAGGAAGATGGCGATTGTGAGGCTGAATGTTCTAGCCGACCCTTTAAAGCTACATCATTTTCAGAGTAGAGCCTTTCATTATGCTACCCTGGGTTCCATGCTATGAGAGGTTTTATCTGAGAGAATTTTATAAGGTGTTTCTTGTACTTCTCACAGTAAGGACAAGACCCAAGATAAGCCCACCTTTTATGGAATTTCATTGTTTAGTAAGATTCCTATGTTTTTCTTTTCCATTTCCTTCATTCCATTTCACTGAATGAGTAAAATGTTAGAATACCACAGTTTCTCTGAAAGTACAAAGAATATATATCAGCTCTCAAATTTTTATTGGAGATTTAGGAAATAGGGCCATGTATGAGGGAGAAAGAGCACAAGGGTGTAGGGAGCATTTCACATGACCTTTGGCTGCCTCATCACCATCAATTACCATTTGTTGAGTAATTACTGTGAGTCAGACACTGGGCTAATAAGCACATTAAAGCCCAGTGTGAAAGATAAGTGTACCTTCAACTGTGTGATCATGCAGGTACACACACACACACACACACACACACACACACACACACACACACACACACACATACACACACCCCACACACTTGAGCCCACTTACATAATCACCACATGTGAAACACAGACTAAGCAGGGAAACCCAGTCTGTGTTGAGGGCAGGCTTTGGCATAGCAAACTGCAATTCAGTTTAGGTGCTTGTTTGATTCAGGAGCTATGCTTTCCCAGTTTCTTCTTATCCAGCTATAGTATTGGCTATTTGTGAGAATATCAGGCCGCCATGGAGACCATGTCATCTCCCTTGTGAAAACATAGAGGTTCATAATGGTTCTTTGAGCACATGGCAATTTATCAATTTCCCTTTACAAAGTCTTCAAACAGACTTCTCAGTATTATCGTGTTCGTGTATAGCCTCTCGATTAAGTAATTTCAGTTATATTCACTTGCTACAGCCTGTTCAGTCCCATCTTTATGAGATTGCTAACTCTGGTCACTTATCATTGAGAAACTACATTCTTTTGTCCAACCACATTTTCTAAGAGAATGAGTCTGTTGCTATCAAATGATCAATGTCTTGTTAAAGGATTTTCTTAATAGCATAAATTTCAATAGCTCATCTTAATAGTCCAAAAAGCTCATAGGCTGTTTGTACCAAATATAAGGTTGTATCAAATGCTACGTCTTCAACCTTTGCCATGAATTCTAACTCAGTAGCTACTAATGATAGAAAAGGATTGATGGTGGCTGGAGTTTACCTTGGCAAGAAAGAAAAGCAGTGTTCATAGGGAACAGTTATGAGCTAACTTCTAGAGGGGCATTTGAGAATAATTCAGATAGTAGACAAAGGGTAATAGTTTTTTGGTTCAACAAAAGTGAAACAATAAGTTTGTAAAACTTCTGTTGAATAAAGAACAGGATGCAAATTGTACGTGGCAACTGTATTTCACATTGCTTCTGATTTTTCCTCCTGATAGAATCTGAATTGTTGAATTGAAACACATATGGATGATTTTTCTAAATGAAAAAAATATATTTTACATTGTGCTGGATTGTTGGTTTTTATTGTATGGTTACTGATACACCTTCATTTCACATTTGGGCAGATACGGCAGACGGCGTTTCTCAGGAGCTCTTCTCTGCTGGCTTAGTTGATGGTCATGATGTAGTTATAGGTAAGTCACTTTTTAATGCATGTAGTGTCATTTTGTTGATACATCAAATGGAGGTGCACTTAGAAACAAAAGTTTTCATAAAGGAATAATTCTGTGAATTTCTGAAAATTTCTTGAATTCTTATCTTTTATGTGAAATAGGTATATTTAAGAGTCATATTTAACTTCCTGTTTCAAAAGCTCTTAAATGTAATTCTGTCCCATTTGTCTGGACGTGATTGATCCAATGCAGAACGCCACTTATTGGAGATAAAACAAAGAACCTAGAAGACCGAAACGTCCATGACATAGCAAACCCAAGATACTATAAATTCCGTGCAGCTAAGTATGGGAACTTCTGAGGTCCTTTCTCTGAGTTTCTCTATTCTTTTTCCTAGCTCTTAGTAAGGTTCATTCATTATAAACTTTTAAGGTTGGTTAGGAATTAACGATCATTCAGGCCAGTTCTACCATCGTGTAGACAAGGAAGCGAATTCCTAAAGTGATTCAGTGGTTTGTCCAGGGCCATGCAGCTGGGTTGTGGCAGAATCACCACACTTTGAGACTGTGGCTCTTTCTACTACTTTTAGAATCAAGAAAAAGCTGCGTGGAAATAGGGGAGCCTGCTAGCTCTAGGCATGCTGATAGGAGCAAGAAATGACTGCTGGCCAAGCGAGGCAGAAAAGCTGTGTAGAGGCAGAAAGTGTCATCTAAGAAAAAGCATAGCCTGATTCTACCTAGGGTGAGGGTGAAGGGCTCCACACTCTTCAGCAAATTCTGAGTTTATGAAGATTTTATAATGTAGCCTATTACCTCATATTGGTAGTGATGACCCTAAGTAATAAGGATGAGTTAATATTAATTATGACATTATGTTCATTATATTGTTAATTACATATAATTATAATAACACTATAATAGTATTATGAGAAAACTTTCTTTAAAAATATTCAAATCGGGCTTCCCTGGTGGCGCAGTGGTTGGGAGTCCGCCTGCCAATGCAGGGGATACAGGTTCGCACCCCGGTCTGGGAGGATCCCACATGCCGCGGAGCAGCTGGGCCGGTGAGCCATGGCCGCTGAGCCTGTGGGTCCGGGGCCTGCGCTCCGCAACGGGAGACGCCACAACAGTGAGAGGCCCACGTACTGCAAAAAAAAAAAAAAAAAAAAAAAAATTCAAATCAAAACCAATCCTTGAAATAGCTTGGCCCCCTTAAATGATCTGTTTTAACTTTTTAAAAAAATCACTTACTTGAAATAAATCCTTCCCCAATAATACTGGAGTGTGTCACTAAGAGGGAGCTTGAGGTAGATATACTTACCCATCAGAATAGTTTGTTCTTAGAATCTCTATAATATACATCATTATAAAGTGAATTGCTTGGGCTTCCCTGGTGGCGCAGTGGTTGAGAATCCGCCTGCCAGTGCAGGGGACACAGGTTCCAGCCCTGGTCCGGGAAGATCCCACATGCCGCGGAGCAACTAAGCCCATGCACCACAACTACTGAGCCTGCGCTCTAGAGTCCATGTGCCACAACTGCTGAAGCCCACACACCTGGAGCCCATACTCCGCAACAAGAGAAGCCGCCGCAATGAGAAGGCCGCGCACCACAATGAAGAGTAGCCCCCGATCGCCGCAACTAGAGAAAGCCCACACGCAGCAACGAAGACCCAATGCAGCCAAAAATAAATAAATAAATGTATTAAAAAATAAATAAATAAAGTGAATTGTTTTATGTAAATAAGAGTAACAGGGGGTTTAGTGGGAGATTGGAATTCTGACTAAAGAATCAGTATCTAATATGTTATTGGTATACAAATATTCATAAATGTAGATACAAAGATATCTTTGTAGTTAGAAAAAAGTAAGCTTTTCCCGATTAATTACACATGAAGTGTACACATTGGCCTCACAAGGGAGCTCTGTTTCCTTTGTCAAGTGGTACATGTGTAAAGAGATAGAGACGTATTTTAAAGGAAAGTGACATACATCATGCACATGGACATACAGGTGTGTGTATATATTTCCTTGTATATTGTCTTTCATACTTTACTTTAAAACCTTGTGAGGTCCCATGGCCAGCTGAGTTCTTCCCTCAGTTTTCTGAGCAAATGTGAGGGGAAGTTGAGTAATAAGATCAGTTCAACTTTGGCATCTATTGTATCAATAAGTTCCATCTGAGAATTCTTTATGTTAACAGTTGATAAACGTAGATTCTCTCATTTGAAAAAATGAGCACACACCTATGTGTCTTAGTTTACCTGAAGAAATAAGGAGAAAAGTTAATGGCTAGATCAAGATACCCTGTAAGGTATTGATATATTTTCCTTAAAGAGAGCTACTATGGTCCATACCCAAAGCAGCCAGAATTTAAAATTAATTAACAAATAAAAAATAATTTAAAAACACCCACTGATGTCTCCTATTTGGCAAAAAATGTTGAGGAGCACATGGTCTTTTGATTTGAGGTCATCGTGGCAGGTGGTAGGGCGCAGGAAGAATGAAAGAGATTCGTGGAGAAGTAACAGGTCACGTCTTTATTTAAGTGTGATCTTGCTTCAGGCCTACCGTCAAATTTAGTGTACTACTTTTTTCGCCCCCGGCTCAGCTGAATCTAAGCTAGAGGATTTTGGATTGTTGACTTTTTTAAAAGTGGAAATTAAGGCATAATTCATGTCCAAATTATTGAGTGTGATTTAAATAACCAGAAAGCTTGGGGCTTCCCTAGTGGCGCAGTGGTTGAGAGTCCGCCTGCCGATGCAGGGGACGCGGGTTCGTGCCCCCGATCCGGGAAGATCCCACATGCCGCGGAGCGGCTGGGCCCGTGAGCCATGGCCGCTGAGCCTGCGCGTCCGGAGCCTGTGCTCCGCAACAGGAGTGGCCACAACAGTGAGAGGCCCGCGTACCGCAAAAAAATAAATTAATTAAAATAAATAAATAACTAACCAGAAAGCTTCTGTTTTTCTATGCTGTATTTATTCTTCCCCAAATTTTTCATTTTGCCTTTTTCCGCTTCTTAGAGCTGAAGTGTAGAGTGTTGGAGTGAGACTGAGCGTGTGCACTTGTTCCTTATCTAGCAGTACTGACCACGCTTCACAGGGACAGCTCACCTAAGAGTTACAATGTCTGCATATTTCATTTGATCCTCACATCAATTCTGTAAGGTAGAGAGGACAGGTTTTAATCAGTATTTTATGGACAAAAGGAGGTCAAAAGAAGTTTCTGGGTTATTATAACTTGTCATAGTCATTGAACTTGGATCTTGTGATTCCAAGCCCAGAGGCTAATCCTGAACCTGACACTCTGGGTGCAATTAATCCAATATCTTTAGCCTTGAAGAACAGACCTAGATAATTTTAACTGGTTTCGGTGTCTCCTGGAAAAAAAAAAATATATAGCTTGCGCTTACCTGTTTTTCCTGTATCAGTAGACGATTTATATTTTAAGTGTTGACTATTTGATAGACAGGTGAAATGTGTTTAATTCTGTCCCCTCTAACCCATCTCAGCCCCTCCTGCATCACTTACCTCCCTCTTTACTAGATTTGTCCCACCAGCACATGGACATGTTTTTGTCTCCCATTCTAAAGCCCTCCCTTTACTCCGCCTCCCATTACAGCTACTTCTCTTCATCCCCTTGCAACTAAAGTCCTCAAAAGAATTGCCCCGGCTTCAGTTCTTCTACCACTGTCTCTTGAACTCACTCCGGTCCACTTCCTCACTCCACTCAGACTGTTTTTTCCAAAGCCGTATCTGGGGAAGGCACATCCTTGGTAGATAAAATGGCAAATGCAAAGATACATGTGGCCGGAGTGGAGTGAGCAAGATGGAGGGAGAGAAGATACATGATCTGTGAATGACTGCCTGCCACGCTCCTAAATTCAGTGGTTAATTCTCAGTGACCTGTCAGCAGCATTGGGCATAGCGGACAGTGCCCTGCTCCATAAGTGTTTTCACTTGGTTTTTAAGACTCCATTCTCTCTTGGTTCTCCCACCTTATTTATGCTTCCTTCTTAGTCTTTTTTTTTTTTTTTTTTTTTTTTTTTTTTTGCTGTACGCAGGCCTCTCACTGTTGTGGCCTCTCCCGTTGTGCAGCACAGGCTCCG